AGCAACGGGTGAAGTTGATATTCAAGGACTTAAAACCTCTTCCCAGCTATGGGGGGGAGGTTTCCTGTTTGTGGCTTGGATTGTTCTCCTTGATTCTATGAATATTTTGTTCGTCCAACCACTATACATGCTTCAACATATAAATTTTCGCCATAAAACACAAACATGAATGTTTGGGATAGACATGACTTGTATTCTAAAGTTAGAAGACCATTGAAAGACGTTCAGTACTATAGCAGGTCGTGAAAGAAGCACACTGAACGGACATGCTCCAATCGTGTCTTCAGGGCTTTTTCCGAATTTCCGTTTTAAAATTTCTCTTTTTAATAATTTCATATAGTTCATGTTCTTGTTCACAAGGAGCTTAATAAATTAATTAACTAATTATTCCTATCCCTCCTATTAATGCCACAGCTTAAATACAAACTATTCGACAAACCACAGGGAATGAACAAATCTGTAATCTGTTTTTAATCTTATCTTACGCTAATTATAAAGACAAAATATGCAAGTAATAATCAGGGATAATATGATTGGTTTAAGATGATGACAAAAACCCTAGTTCTTTTTTTCTCGTTGTCAAATGATTTCTACTTAGTCTAAGTCATATCATATGAAAACAAAACAAACTGTATTAAACTGGTTTAACAAATTATAAGCTTAATTAGTGCAAGATTTATTTGTCTTTTGTTTGACCAAAATCTCAAAATATTCTACGTAAAGTAGGACGAATCTTGAATTAAGACAAAAGTCTTGTATTTCAAGATTTCGTGCCCTATGAGAATAATATATTGTACATATTCTGTGCATAAAAACATAGATTCTGTGCTTAGAATTAATGGTTAAAAATATTGTACAGTTTGAAGGGTGGAATTTGTCCACAACCTAAGAAACCAAAGGCAATGTGCACCAAAGACAATGAGCCGTAGATAGTATCTGTCTTTGGGCAGTGGACGAAATTCAGCAGTTGGATCCTAGCAATTGCTGTTGATAATTGAGAGTCACATAATTCTCTTAAAAATGGTCAATGAATGGGTGGCTAGTGAAACGAGTCTTTTATTATGAACATTGAATGGATGAACGAAACGCGTCTTTTATACATCACAGATGTTTACACATTGTTCATATGTACTTCATGGCATGTTTGATACATTAGAACAGACATGATTAAGTCTTTGTTTGAATCCCATTTTTTAAAATAAACTTTGTATAAGTTTTTATGGAAAAAAAATTGTGATTAAATATAGAGAAAAGCTTTTGATTTACATGTAATATTATTATATTGGGAGAATGTATAATTAAAATTGAGTTTGAGGAATGGGATCAAATAAGAGCTAAAACTCATTAGTTTCTTGTCCAGTATTGTACAATTCAGAACAACGTGCACAACCTCGATGATGTAATATTATTAATTCAGGGTTGACAAGCCTTACTCTCATTGTTTACTAGCAAATATATTCCCAACAGATATTCAATGACAAAAATCCATCTTCGTGACCTTCAACAACAAATTTTTGGACTTTCGATGAACCATTTTTCTGTAAGAAATGGTCAAGGAATCTCCAAAGCAAATTAATATGTGCTATGTGCATAGAGAACTTGGTAAGAGAGTCATCTAGGAATACCTTTTAGTTTAGACTATGTCTCTTCTTGAACAAATTAAAGATAAGTTGAGAAGGCCAATATTTTGAATTCTTAACTTTTGTGTTGTCTTCTCCACACAATCCATTCATTTCCAATTTTTGGACATTTCGAGAAATGACAACAAAAATGGTGTGAAACCAATGACTCTTTCCTTTGTATTCCTCTTCAAATCCAATTTACATGCATGTGCTAGAGTGTGTGTAGGGTGGGGATGATCAATTTTGTCCCCTTGTTTGGCCGGGTGGACCGGACGTGGGTTTTAGCTGGACTTGGAAGAATTATGGCAAAAATCACGCCGGTTTGAACTCTGCTATGGAAGATAATGCAAAAGTAATCGTACGTGTGTTTGCACATGCATGAGGCAGACAAAATCCTGTTCTAGTCCACGCATGATGCATGCATGCTATGTATTGACAAAATTGAAGGCGACGAGACGAAATTTCGACGTTAATTTGTAGAGTTTAATTATAGAGTTATTCTACTCTGCCAGGGTTTGCTAACAGGTTTTGGAGTCAGATGTTGATGTGTCAAAAACTGTGTGGTTGTTTTTTTGTGTATTTTCTAACTGCTCAATCATCACGTGACAAGTGTATCTGGATTCAAACCCTGGACTTAATCCATGTCACTATAGCACTACTCTTAATTATATTGTATAGTAGTTTACTTGACTACGAGTTTATGGTCGACCGGGGGCGAGGAAGTACTGGGAGGAGGTAGACATGCATGTTTTGATATTCCATATATACAGGTATTGATCATTATTAAATGAATATTGAATTTGAATTCTTTTATTTTCAAAAAAGAAGAAAAAAGACATCCCTTATGACACGTGTCTTAATGGGAGATAAAATTTGCAAGAAAGGTCATTATCAATAGCTTTTTCCACGTACCTATCTTCTGTGGACACTCCAATATTCATCAATTTGAAATAATCGTGTGAAATCTTGCCTTGTGATTCTTTTAGAACCATATGACTCAAGTCGCTCTCAATAGCCATGAATTGATCATAGAAGATGTATATATACACGAGAGAAAGGTGGGGAAAATTTATGAAGTCTTCCTAAAATATCCGCCTTGAGTGTGGTCCGATACAAGCATAGATTATGAGACACTTTGCAGCACGCCTACATTGGAGATGTGTCGACAGTTGATGTAGACATAATTTGTGAATCGAGACACATTTGGAGACATCCGTGAGATCATAATAATTTCAATAAAAAATATACAAGTTTATCTTGTACTTCGTAAATTATAAATTGACTTGACAAAAATAAAGTAGATTACAATTTCATTAACCAATGAATCATAAGATTCACACCAAGACCAGTGATAACATTATTCCTACTTAAAAGTGTTACAATCATATTATAGTAACATCTTGGATGACCGCCTGGATGAAAGCAACTCCACGTGGCAAAATTTCATTGGACTGTTTGAAAAAAAAAAAAAAAAAAGTCACGCAATCAATTTTTTTACACATATTTTTGTCAACAAAGATGTCAAATTCATCTGCCGACAATTCTTAATTCGAAATTTTAAACCAGGTAGCATTTACTCCTATTCGCCTCTTTATAGAGGATGGCATTGAGCCACAAGTTCCCACAAGTAGTTACATAAATCAAGTTTAAGTAATATTATTTAACACCAATGTTACAACACTAATCTAGATGACACCATAGTTCACTAATGAAATATATATGGAGAGTTTGATGGGGATTTTTATCTAAAAATGCATTTTAGAATAGTAAATTGATGTGAAATATGTGGTTGAGAAATAATGAAATTTTTTTTTACGTGTAATATTATTTTAATAAAGAATACGTAGTTGAAAAGAAAAGAGAGAAAAATGTATTTTTAAAAAAATAGCTATCAAATGGGGCCATATAATTTTACATTTAATTGAACATATCGCATAATATAACATAAATTGGTGCTTTAACACCACCAATACTATGCCCCTGTTTGTCATCTATTTTCTTCCATTCTTTTCCATTATTTTTTTACAGTACTCATTTTCAAGCACACATTCTTTATTAACATAATATTACACGTAAATAAAAAACGTTTTCTTCTTTCTTAACCACACATTTCAACATCAATCAATACTTCATAATACATTCTTCCCAAATAATGCGTGACAAACACACTCTATATATTATTATTCAACAAACTTTGTATCAAGCATCTAGAACATAATTCCCAGCTCAGAGTTGAATCCCTGGGTATTTTGCTCACAGAGAATTGAGTAAATAAATTAATCACTATTTACTTTAACTAAAAATGTTGATACAAATTTAAATCAAAATAAACAATGAATTTTAACCCACACAATATATATATAATCTACAACTTTTTTAACAATTTATTTCATCAACTTTTTTTCATAAATCTAATATTGTTCTAAAATATAAAAGAGAACTAATAAATATCCAAAAAGACAGAATGATAAAAAAGAGATTTGACACCCAAAAAAATAAAATAAATAAATAAAGGTCATGTCAATGTAATGGTGTCAACGAGTTGAGCCGACTCGCGAGCCGAAACTCAAGGCTCACACTCCGCTCGTGTCAAATGATCTGAACTTTTTTACGAGCCCGAACCGAACCGAACTTTTGCCTGGTAAAAATCTAAACTCGAGCCTTACCGAGCCAGATAGGCTCGATTTTTTTTTTAATTAATAATTAATTGCAGCACCATGTTGCCTTTTATGAAAGGGCAACGAAATGTTGCCTAAAATAAGGCGGCATGTTGCTACTCAACCCTTTTTTTTTTTTTTTTTTCCTTTCCCGAAACGCCCATGAGCACAAGCCTGTGGGCTGGCTCGAGCTCAGCCACACACTCCAAAATGGGGCTCAGGCCTAAAACGAGGCTGGCTCAGGCTTTTTCAGACAACGCTAAGGGCGGCTTGAGCCATTGAGCCCAGTAGCCTTCCCTATGTCAATGTTAGTGAATGCTGCTTTTTGATGAGCAGGAGGATGACACGATTGATTGCCATACGAATTTTGCTGTGTATGACACTTTTGTAATCCATGTGAGAGAAATGTCAAAATTAGTGTACAAAAGTACCATGCACGTAACAAAACTCTAGGCATATGTGCAGTGCAAAGCCTCTTACCTGTACAATGTACACAAGTGCAGTACTTTCCACAAAACAATTGTTACCCATGTGAAAGAGATGTCAAAATTAGTGTACAAAATGCTATACACACAGCAAAACTCTTGGCATATGTGCAGTGCAAAGCCTATTATCTGTACAATGTTTGTACACCAGTGCAGTACTTTCCACAAAACAACTTAATGATCAATTAACCTTAACGTACTGAAAGCAATATCCTTCCACTACAACCACCATGCATATATATATATATATATATATATATATATATATATATATATATATATCAAAAGTGGTGATACTAGGCAAACTGTTGACTGCAAGACGTCGGATCCAGACGTGGAAGATCAGATGTATTCTAATCAAGATCCACATCTTCGAGGTGCTCTGATGATCAACTGTACCATAAATAACAGCAGATGGCATTAATGACTTGAGAGAACATCAATGACAATATGAAACCAAAACATAAGACAGTAACAAATTTGCTTACTTTTCGTACTGCTCAGATGGGGGGACTTCTGTATCACTATATGCGGGACTATCCATGTGCGCAGGCTTAGAATTTGGGCTTTTATCTTCATCATAACCATCGGGGGTAAACCTCTCTTTTCGCTCTCTTGGAGGGCTTGGACTTGGACCATGACCATAATCTGGAGTTGCAATCTCCCCAGGACTGAGTCCACGGGCATCGTCACCATTGGGCCCATCTCTTTGAGTAACTGGGCTTTGTCTAGGGCTGTAATCAGAGTACCTTGCCTTCCTGAGACTTGGACTATGCCCAAGATCATATTTAGAGTTCCTTTCCTTTGGACTGGGGCTGCGGCTTGCCCTACGACCATAATCAGGACTTGCCCGCTCTCTACGATATGGATTTGGACTGCGGCCATGACCATAGTCTGGACTTGCCCTCTCTCTCCTGTAGGGACTAGGAGAACGACGTTGGTCATAGCCTCTCATTGGAGATCTGTCACGAGTTGGGCCTGGGCCATATCCAGTTCGCCTCTCATCATCATCCTTGATAGCATATTCAACACTGAGAACTCGATCGAACAGTTTACTGCATTTAACACCCAAACAATCACAACAATGCTGCAAACTAATTTTAGGTTAAGGCATTCGATTAACTTCTTAAATAAAAGTAGGCATAATGTGAGCATTAGATTCACAAACATTTCCTAAATGAGCTCACCTCATGTTTGTGGCATCCAAAGCTTTGGTTGCCTCCTCCTGCAATTCATACTGAATAAAGGCAAAATTCTTGCGCATCCTCACATTCAGAATTTTTCCATATGGATCAAAATGTTTCTCTAAATCTCTTGTCCTTGTATGGTACGGATCAAAATTTATTACAAATAAAGTTTTCGAGGGTCTCGAGTTAGACGGAGGCTTTCTCGAACTCTCAGGCCTCCTGCTACCACGTTCTTGCTGGGGCACAACAATGAGGAAGAGTATATAAGTAGTAATCCCAGAAATTAGTTGCAGAGAAAAAAAAAAAAAAAAAAAAATATATATCACCTTTGTCCACTCAACCCAGAGAAAAAAAAAAAAAAAAAACATATATATCACCTTTGTCCACTCAACACGCAGCCTACGTCCCTTTCTGCCAAATTCAATGCGGTCAAGTGCCCTAATTGCATCATCCGCATCTCTCTCATCCTCCATGTAAATGAAAGCAAAACCTGAAATCCATAAAACATCTCTCTATTAATAGATCATTACCTATTATGTTAATAAAAATTAATATATGTGAAGACTGCTTCAGTGAAATGATCGCTGCATTTGAAACAATTTTCAGTCTGCAACTGAGAAAATCATCAACCCTGTCACCTGATAACAAAAAAGACCAACTTCACTATCTAGAAACTACCGACCAGTAGAATCAGCAACAGACCTTGTTAGTGAACTAAGCGATGTCAAGAAACAACTATCGAAAGGTGGATGTCTCATGACATAACAATGAAAAGATAGTGCCTTCTCCATTTTATTCTGCTGCCTCAGCTTCGAGGTCTGCAAGTGTAACATGGAAAAATGAAGGCTGGACAAAGGTCATGACAAATGAAGGCAAGATGACTTGGGGAAATGTGAGATTGTGATGCCATGGATGATTGAGGCTCTTCTAGGAAAAAGAAGAGGATACTTGTCACTGCCAGGAAATGAAATGCAGAAGAACCGTCCATCAGCCATGAATTGCATGGAAATTGCATTGTAACCCTGCGCCAAAGAATTAATTGAGTATGGGTGTCACACACTTCAAAAAAGACATATATTTTTTTTAAACATATCCCGACACCCCACTAAACTCAACAAGGAAAGATTGCTGTCAAGAGCATGTTTGGGCAGTATTCTTTGCTGAAAGCAGCTCCCTCGTGTGCTGAACTCTCCACAAGCTTGACAACACTGGTTTCTGAATATTTTGCAATTTCCTTATAAAACGTGTATTCACCAATTCAACACATTTCCAATCTGCTTGATGTTGTGGTATGAAGACCATCGACTTAGCAAGACAATCAGCAATACTCCAGTCACAAAACAATTATTGTAGATGTGTATTCACTAACCTTGGATATGGATGGTAGTAGATTGTCAATTCGAAACAAACACATAACTAGTACAAATTGTAAATACTAAATTAGTGTTTCAGCAGCATGGAATTGACAGTCTTATTGAAGTCATTCAAGAAGAACGAAAAAATAGGAATTTCTTAGCCGTCTCATCTGGCAAGGGAAAATAGCCTAATTATGTTATGCAGCTTGACATTTTCGGCAAGCTGAAATAAAAAACTATATATACGTTTTTGCTTGTGTTCCTTTTTAAGTGAAACCAAATTTCCAACAACCTAGTTGTTTGGTATATACAGCAGTCAAAATTATCTTCGAAGAGTTAACTATCTGACAGCTTTTAATGGCGTGCTCCTAAAAGAACATAGTCCAGGCAAAACAGACTTACCAGCCTTCATATCAACACGATCAACTTTTCCATATCTCCTGAAGAGTCTTTCAAGATCAGACTGGCGAGCATCATACTCAAAGTTTCCACAGAAAATAGGCCTCATTTCAACTTAACACTGATTGTCTCAAAACCTGCAACAATGAGAAAGGGAACATAAATTTTTTAGTAAGCAACCACGCCAATATTCAAAGAAAATGAACTGTTTGACATTTTTAGGCCAACCGGGACACTTTTTATACTTGACAATACACCAATTTACTATAATTATTAAGACTTCAAATTATGATCTCGAACATATTGATATAAAGTAGATCTCAATAACTGTAAAATAACAAGTCATTTACCACTAAGTGGTGTTCTATAGTTCACAAATGGTGTTAGGATAAAATTAAAAGTAAAAGCCCAAGAAAGATGAGGGATATTTTTCAATATCACATATTACCCTTTACTATTTAACATTTTTTTTTCAATATTTGACCATCTAAGAGAAAATGTAAGTCCATTTTCCTTTTCTACGTAAGCAAATGAGGGGAATAAGTAATCCCAAATTTACATTTGCCTTTCCATTTGCTATCTAAACTACCCAAACAAATTGTTCAGTTTTCAGGTTCCTTCAATTCAAACATTCTACTGAACAGGCCCAGCAAAACCATCAAGAAAATTAAAGGGAAAAAAGTAAATCCCGAAGTTACTACTCAAACCAAGAATTATCTTAAACTTATCCACATTAAAATCCAGAATCATCAAAATTTAAGCTTCAAAATTTAAGCTTCAGCTAACGTCAAAATAACAAATAATTCAAGAATACCTACAGATAATCAGATTTTTATCTAAAACGATAAAAGAAAAAAAAAAGCTTCAGGTATAGATCCGAAGACCATGGGAATTAAGATTCACGAGTAGCAGAAAGATGAAATCTGGATGTACCTTCGGAAATTTGGAAACCCTAGACAGAGAAAGCTTGCTGAGAGAAATATCTTCCAAAACGTATAAAATAATATTAATATCAAAAATCAGGTGGAGTGTTATGTTTAGTTGTATCATCATTTCTGTATATCCCGAACGTAAGCTCTTGTCAGGCTCGGCCCATTCTTATTTGGGCATGAAAACATATAACAAAATTGACATAAATAGCACTACAAATGGCTATTCACTCAATGATGGGTCGTCCTTTTTTAATATTTGGACTTTAATTTATCATTTTGGTCAGTAATGACTTTTAACAACATTAATAACAGTATTGTCATCCTTAATCATTGATGAAAGTGTGTCATTATCACAATTGACAATTTAATCTGAATCACCAATAAAAATTGATTTTGATCAAAATCAATAATTGTCATATCTTGAATATCACTGAGGAAATTTTCACTAGTGATCATATTTTATTGTTCTCGAAAAAAGCCTTCATTAGCAATTTTGCATAAGGCTCCCAAATTTTGGGACTCTTCTTGGGGGCCTCTTTGTTTGAACTTGCAATTAGGCTTAGAAATCATTTTCCATCCAAAACACAAGTTTGTTTATACGTATCGTAGAATCTTTTAGAAAAATGACAACTTGAGAAGCAAGGTTCAACTAGTGATGACAAATCATTGTAACTAAGATACAAATGGGAGAAAAGGAACCCTATCACTTCCTCACTCTGCTACAAAGGACTAGCGAGGACTCTTTGCCACTCTAGTCCTTGCAGCAAGTGGAAAGCCCTAGCACTTCATTGCTATGTTTCTCTCAACCTCTTCTAGTTTTGACATAGAAAGACAATGCGAATGATAATAGAAGGATCTTGTTCATAACACGCAATCGGACGTTGGTCAAATTTCACTCGAACGGACGTAAGAATTGATAGAATTTTAATCCAGATTTGCATATTTGAAAGGAACTAATAATCCAATTTTAATCCTTTCATAAATTTATCCACGTTGAATCAAAGAGAACAAAATGAAAGCGGATGCGTACCTTGATCCACGATTATAATTGATTTTATTCGGGTTATGATCTTCCAATTGATTCGTGATTTACCATAGAATTCTTGAAAAACTCTCTGTTGGTGGGGATGCAGAGGTTATAAGAAAATCACGTCAATTGGGGACCATGACCCCATGATAAATAACTGCTAAGCAGTTATCATCTTTTATTTGTTTTAAATTGGCCCCTCATCAATTTAAAACAACTACCCGACCTCTACACTTTAATCTCATAATAATTGATACTTATTAGTCCAAAATTAAATTCATTGGATTACTTTAATGGACTAAAACTATAAGATAGCAATGCACACTTTAAGCATATACATGTGTGGCCCCAATAATTAAAATTTTTCCAATAATCTCCCACTGGGCCATACATGTAACCTTTTAAATGTGCATAACCTTATGAGCTTAAAATTTGCTATCATAATTAAGGGTATTTCCAAACAATCTCGTCTATTAGTCATATTGATGTAGGATCAAAGCAATTTTCGTCACACTTAACATGACTAAATCCATCAATGGTCACGTACACCTGTTCACGAAATAATTCTTTCGATTTAAAACTACCGCAAGTGTACGGATCGTAACAAGTAATAAAGTGGATTTTTAAAAGTCCGAATATCCTCCCTCAGAAATTGAGTAGTTCAATTCTATATAATCTAGCCTTAACCGAATCTAATTGAGTGAAAATATGGTCTAAATGCAAAAAGCCCTAATTTCAATTAAAAATCCTAATTTATATTGAAAACCCTAATTTCTCAATTAGAAATCCTAATTTTGAAATTTCTCTAATTAAATGACTCAAACACTCAAGTAAATGAAATTATGCAAATTCAAAAGCTAATTTATGGAAATGAATCAAACTAAAGTTACTAGGATCACGAATCCCCAATTAAAGTTATGAAAACCCTAATTTCATAAAATTAATGACCCGATGAAAATTTGTCAATTCAATGTTCCTAATTCTACCCAATATATTCTCTCAATATATATTAGACCTATTCTTGCACATCACCAGCCTATATCTCTATGGATGATGCAAATATACAAGAATGCATGTAGTTTTGTGGACAATTAAAGAATTGCATAAAACATAGGGGTATATCTCTATCCCCTATCGGACCCTATGTTAATTTACACCTTATCGAACCTATTCCACTTCTCTCGAATGTAAGAAATAAGTCATCAACACTCACACGATCATTAGCCACTAATTGCGGAAGAAAATCAATGCATATAAACTAATCAAATTATCCAAACGAGTCTTCATATTAAATGCATGAAATATGGAATTAAAATAAAAAAATAGTTCATCGATGACCTAATGAATTGAAAACCTAGCCTAGAATATTCATAATTACAGAAAAAACGAAATTAATAAATAGAAAGAATAGCACCCGTATGAAAATTTCTTGAAATCTTGAACAACGCCTTGAAAACCCGCTTGAGTTCTTGTGAAATCGGCTTCAAGTTTGTGTTCATTGCCTCCAAAAGTTATATTTTTCTTCTCCCTGGACGTTCTACCCTATTTCTGATGAATTTTGGCTTTTATATCATGTTCTCACGGAGCCCCGAAAGAGTTTCAATTAAAAACGCAAGTTCAGAAATTTTTTTGATTTTTATAGCCATACGACCGCATGGTTCAAGTGAACTGCCTCTATGAAATCCTTGCAACCTTATGTGCGGCTGCATGGCATAGTTATGTGCGGCCGCATGGTTGTAACTTTCAACTTTGCTGTTTTGGTCCTTGAACTTCGTTTTCTCTTTTCTTGATCTCTTTTCTTTCTTTCCTTTGTTCCATCATCAAATATTGACTCCTAATTGACGTTTGGGTCAATCAATTCCTTGATCGC